ATGGGTCAGGGGTGGGCAGTGATTATGAGGAAAGCAAAAATTCATTTCAAGTCCTGTTAGAGGTGATGGAGGAAAAAAGGCACTAAGAGGAGGTAATCTTGTTAAAGGAGACTATTGATTCTGCTCCTTTTCAGAACCTAGAATTCTCTTTCTCCTCTCTTTATGTGATGAGCTTACACTCATTCTCGAACTCTGGCTTACCTGCAGTCTTCTCTGTGAAAACATCCCTGAAACCAAGAAGTAGAATTAATTATTCCCTCGCATGTGTACCCTCTTCTCTTTATCTTATTATCACTCTCTGTTATCATAATAATGATATCTTGTTATCACTCTCTTACAGTGAGCTGTTTACCTCCAATATGGTAAGTATCTCAAGGCTGTTCAGTTCAGTTCAGTTGCTCAGTCATGTCTGACTCTTTGCGACCCCATGGACTACAGCACGCCAGGCCTCCCTGTCCATCACCAACTCCCAGAGCTTACTCAAACTCATGTCCATTAAGTCAGTAATGCCATCCAACCGTCTCACCCTCTGTCGTCCCCTTCTCCTCTCGCCTTCAATCTTTGCCAGCATCAGGGTCTTTTCAAATGAGTCAGCTCTTCACATCATGTGGTCAAAGTATTAGAGTTTCAGCCTCAACATCAGTCCTTCCAATGAATATTCAGGGCTGATCTCCTTTAGGATGGACTGGTTGGATCTCCTTGCNCCCATCTCTTTCAGAATTTTCCACAGTTTATTGTGATCCACACAGTCAAAGGCTTTGGCATAGTCGATAAAGCAGAAATAGACGTTTTCCTGGAACTCTCTTGCGTTTTCAATGATCCAGCAGATGTTGGCAAAGGGCAGACAGACTGAAAACCATCATCACAGAAAACTAACCAATCTAATCACATGGACCACAGCCTTGTCTAACTCAATGAAACTATGAGCCATGCCATGTAGGGCCACTCAAGACGGATGGGTCATGGTGGAGAGTTCTGACAAAATGTGGTCCACTGAGAAGGGAACAGCAAACCGCTTCAGTATCTTTGCCTTGAGAACCCCATGAATAGTATGAACAGTATCTCAAGGGTGAGGAAAGACTTGGTTGTATCCCCAGCACAGTACACAGAAGATTGGACCACTCAAAAAATATTTGGGATGAATTAATGTGGGACAGACAAGCTAGGCTGCAGGGAGTGTTAGCATGGAGATAATCTGGCTCTTGTGACAGAAAGGAAGCTGCCTCTCTCAGTGAGCCTGGAGAAGGATTACAGAAGGCTTTGGAGCTGAGTCTTAAGAGAGAAACTGGTACAAGGTACAAGGATGCGTGCAAAGTGCCTCTAGGGGATTACCACTGGGATTAAAGCATGGGGAGAAAGGTGGAGAGCAGTGAGAGATGATCCTGGAGAGGGGGGCAGGTCTCAGATCATGGTGGGGGGACTGTGTATGCCAGGCTAAAGAGGCAGTGAGGAGTTACAAAAGGGCTTCATGTAAGGATGAGATCACATCAGATGTGGTCTTTAGAGAGATAGCATGAATAATAATGACAATAATAATGACAACTAATCTTAATTTATTAATTGCTTATCATGTCTCAGACACAGTGCCATGTGCTTGACAAGGTCACAGCTTGGATGTGAACCCTGGCAATTTTACCTCAGAGACCATGCTCCTAACCACCACGCTATAGTGCTTGGACTGCAGGCACTTTAGTATCAGGAAATTGATGAGGGAATTTGGATAAGAAATGAAATACCAAATCAATGGTATTAGATGAAGTAAAGTGAAGTCATAGGGACTCTTTGAGACCCCAATGGACTGTAACCTGTCAGGCTCCTCCGTCCATGGGATTTTCCAGGCAAGAATACTGGATTGGGTTGCCATTTCCTTTTCCAGGGGATTTTCCCGACCCAGGGATTGAACCCAGGTCTCCCACACTGCAGACAGACTCTTTACTCTCTGGACCACTTTTGATGTGAGCATGGTATTAGATAGGGAGGGTTAAGAGGTAAAAAGGAGAGGGGATTCTCAGGATTTGGAGACCAATTGGGTGTGGTAAATGAAGGGGTGGGAGAAGTGGAGATGTCTTTCAAATTTCTGGTTTGAGTGTCAGTGTGGAGGATGGTGCCATCACTGTGACATAAGAAAAGCAGGATATCACTGTGATGAAGTTACGTCTTCTTCCATTGCTTCTTTTTCATTGCCCTGGTACAACTTCTACAAAGAAAATCATGAGCTCCCAGAAAAGACCATAGTAGTTCTTGTAAATTGCTCTATTTAGACTCTATACAAGCAACAAGACGCAGAATTCATTAAGGAATGCAATTTTTCATTTGTTGATAGTTCCAATATTGAAATAGACTGAGTTTGATGGAATAATAAATATATCTTATGAATACCAAAGGTAGGTTTTTCAATTATTTTCTCTGTCTAAAAAAACAGACTCAATTTCAATGTCTCATTTGGTCAAATAGAGGGGTTATTAAGTTCATTACCAGTGGTTATTTTCAGCTGTAGACTTTTACAGAGAAGTAGTTGTGATGCATGGGGACTTCAGTCCTTGTCACAACAGGACAGTGATGAGGACAGGGTATCCAGGGCAACTAAGAGTTCAGCCTTTTCAGTCTTGAATAATCACTTTCCAGCTTGCCCTTTGAAATGCTGGGTCTCTGAGCTACTTCATGACAGAATGAGTTTGTTCAGGAGGCCACTATTCTCTTTCTTACATTTGGTTTAAATGGCTGCTAAGAAATATTTTATAAGAAAGGCAGTATTTCAATTCCACTGTAAATGGCATTGGCAAAAATCTGCAACTTACTCTTCTGTTCTTAGCTCTGGCTATCAGGGTACTCTGAGTAACCAGCACACAGGGGTATGTGTTTCTAGTGGGTAGGTACTCTTTAGGACCAAGGTTGTTTGAGGTGTTATATATGCTTGATAATTCAGTTTAATGAAAGCACAGCTAAATAAGGCAAGACCAACCTGGGAGGGTGGTCAAGGTGGTAAAAAGAACACTAAAGAAAAACTAATATCATCTCCCCCACTACCTTTTATGCTTAGAACCAATTTGTATTCCTCATCTGTGATTTGAAAGTTCTCTCCAGAGTAGAAATCTCAACTTCTGCTAGATATTCATAGCACTCAATTGACAATTAAGTAACATATCAAGAAGTCCATATCAGGGAGGCTAGAAGCTTAGATTTGAGAGTCATGCCAAACTAGTTCTGTGTCACTTTACTCAAGAGTCTGTTTTCTCATCTAAAAATGGGAACTCAACAGTGCTTACTACATAGGATAGCAGCAAGGAGTAAGTGAGAAACACAATGCCTATTGTCAGGGCCTTTGAGATTTCTAAGAGCTACAAAGAAAGTGGAGATCTGGCGGGGGGTGGGGGGGAACTACTTTAAAATAGAAAATGAAAACTGAAAAATTGATATTTAACTCAATACTTAAAACATAACTTATCCACTGTTAACTACACTTAACCTTTATGTAATTTTATATAAGCATGAATCAAAGGTGCACAGTTTTATATTTCCTTTCAAAAATTGTCTGGTAAAAAATTGTATTTATTACTGGATTTGAAAGTGCATTTTAATATGTTTGATCTGATGTTGAATATAGCATTATAAGTAAATGTTTGTTTGGTCTATGGAGATCTTAAATGCTTTTAGGTTCTTAAATGGCAGTTCTAATTACCATTATTATAATAAAGATTTTATTCTTCTGCCCCATGACATTTCTTACATTGCGACTGACTGTTCTGTGAATGTTTCTGCCTTGTCTTTTCGATTAAACCATAAGATCCATGAGGATCATACTGAAGAAAAGATGGAGTAAAATCACTGGGCTTTGTTTTGGGCTCCACCACTGAGCAGGTATGGAAGCTTGAGTCCAGAATTTAGTTTCTTCAATTGAAAAACAGGCAGACTGTGGCCTGCTCCAGGCCGCCTGCTAGTTTACAGAGAAAATGAAGGGCTGCATTTAAGAGTGCTTTAACTGTATAAACACACAGGATAGTATAAGCTTTGCTGAAGCACCTGCAATGCCTCTCATGGCTAGAGACACAGGGAGGAGTTAGCAAAAATCCAGTGACTTCCAAAAACGTTTTTTTCTGCCACCACATCCAAGCAATACTTGTTTTAGCTATGCTGCTGCTGCTAAGTCACTTCAGTCGTGTCCGACTCTGTGAGACCCCATAGACGGCAGCCCACCAGGCTCCCCCGTCCCTGGGATTCTCCAGGCAAGAACACTGGAATGGATTGCCATTTCCTTCTCCAATGCATGAAAGTGAAAAGTGAAAGTGAAGTCGCTCAGTTGCGTCCGACTCTTAGCAACACCATGGACCGCAGCCTACCAGGCTCCTCCGTCCATGGGATTTTCCAGGCAACAGTACTGGAGTGGGGTGCCATTGGTTTAGCTATAGTCTCTTCCTTTTTGTTCATTCATTTAATGGATACTTTAAGAACACATACTGAGCCTGTTCTATGTGCCAGGGCTTGTGCTAGGGATCTAAGAGTGCAATGAAATACCTAGAGTCTACAGTAAAATTGTTCTTTTTCTTTCATTTTCATGTAGGGTTTTATATCTTACCACACAATTAACATACATTGTCTGAAGGTGCAAACTAAGTCATTTTAGTAGTGTGACACTTTGCAACCCCATGCACTGAAGCCTGCCAGGCTCCTCTGTCTATGGGGTTCTCCAGGCAAGAATATGGAGTGGGTTGCCAGGGCCTTCTCCAGGAGATCTTTCCTACCCAGGAATCAAACCTGGATCTCCCACATTGCAGGCAAGATTCTTTATCGTTTCAGTCATCAGGGAAGCCCATTATCTGAAGATAAATAAGAGAATTTAAAACAAGACAATGCCTCCAGTATTACAACACTATTTCAGAACAGTCTTCATGGGAAGTGTTCTCATTCGGCCCTACTTTTCCCAGGCCAAGGCTGGGCTTTGTTAAGGAGTGGCTTGATCCCTGATTAAGGCAGTAAACAAAGTTGCAAAACCCTGGACTCACAGGTGGCAGGCAGGAGTTCCACGTGGTTGTGTCGTCACTGCTGGTGCTTATGCTGACATTACAGTTGTCAACCTGGGATGCGCTCAGGCCATAGGGAGCCCCAGTGTCCTCCAGTTCTTCATTCTGTTGCCGTCGTAGGCTGGCGAGCATTTGCAGCTCAGATTCACTAATCTCACTGGGCTGATAGTTTCTCCAGTCATACTCCTGAGCAAGAGAGAAGAAATTGAAAGAGCAATGCGTCATTTGGCCTTTCTTAATTTTATGGGCTACCAGTAAATGCTACTTTACAGCCTTAGCCCCTACAATGGCTCCCCATTGACAAAGAGGCCCAGATCCTTAATATGCCCTCACATGATGCCCCTGCCGGCTGCCTCACCTTGTCGTCTTCTCCTGACATGTCAGTCACACTGTCCTTCGTTCAGGTCCTCAGAAGCATCAAACCCACTCTTGCCTTAGTGCCTGTGTACATGCCAGTTCTAGTGTGCTCATGCCCAGCTGTCCACTAGGGCCCAGATTATGTGTTTATCTTCAGAAACGCTTTTCCCGACAGCTCAAAACTGGGTCAGTTCCTCCACATTATGTGCTCTCAGAGAATCCCACAGTGTACATTTTTAGCACCATCACAGCCGCAGGTACCTAACTGGTTTTGGAGTCCATAGGTAGTCTATGAGGGCTGCAAAGGCAAGCTCCACGACTGCCTTACTTCCATTGTATTTCCCATACCTGGAGCCAAACCCGTATTTGAGGACTGACTAAATAAAAATTCCAAATGGTTTTTTGGAAAAGAAAAAATCACCTTTCATAAAAAAGTCTGGTTTATAAGAGAATTGATAAATTTCATCAGTGTGAACACTAGGATCAAATAAATTCAACTAACAGTAAGAATGAAGATAACTAATGTTGTTAAAAGCCATCAAATAAAATATGAGCTGAGGATGGGAACAGGTAAGGTCTGAAAGCCAGAAAGACCTCAGAGCTACCATAAACCCTGAAACTCACATGGACTTTACTATATATATGTAATCTGTCAAGTCTACGACTATAAATCTTCAGAGGCTAGTATAAATATTATTTCAATGTACGGGGAAGAAACTGGCATATGGAATTTTCAAACCTCTTTTCTCTGGCTTAAACCAAATCTGGTAGCTAACATTAACTTCAACATTGCTGAAATGTTAGCATCACATATGAATGAGCAGTGTGATTTACATCTAGGACTGGCATACAACTTGAAAACAAACTTGAAATCTTTTTGTACATCTGGAATCAGTGATTATGGTCAAAAAGTTTTTTTTTTTTTTCCATGACATGTAAGACTTCTTAAGATACTCAAATTTCTAAATTTGTTTTCTTGGATGATTCTCTGAGATAGCTACTGTCTTTTCTTTCTGCCTCATCGGGATGTAAAAGGTTAAGAAAATAACAATTGAAAAAAATTCTTAGTGTTTCTATGACACTAAAAGCTTTTTAATAAAGCATTATTATCATCATAACTTTGGGGTTATGAAAGCCTGTGATCTAATAATGTGATGTGGAGATTTTCTGCGAAGTTGCCAATGGAAACTCACTTAAATTCTTATAGTTCATGGCTTCAGCAGCTTGGCACTCTTAATAGATGTCATGAGTAAAAGAGTTCATGAGCATTTAATATGCTTAAAGAGTTCTTTGAATAAAACAGATATTACAAGAAGAAAAACAAAGTTTATATTCCAAAAAAAGGCACTTTAAAAAGGGAAAAATAAAAACAATTTAAATTCGAAAGAAATAGGGGAGCAATAAACAAAAAGATGCCCAACATCACTGTCATTAGAGAAAGCAAATCAACACAACAACGAGGGACCAGTCACATCCACTGGGATTGTTATAATACAAAGGATAGACAGTAACAAGTGCTGGCAAGGATGTGGCGAAACTGGTATCCTCATACATCACTGGTTGTGATTATAAAATGGTGCAGTCACTTTGGAAAAGTTTGGTGGTTCCTCAAAACATTAAACATGGGCCATGGGGCCAGCAATTCACTTGCTGGGATATATCCAAGAGAACTAAAAATATATGTGTGTACAGAAACTTCCATATGAATGTTCATTATCAGTATTATTCATAATAGCCCAAAAGCAGAAACCACCAAATGTCCATCAGCTGATGAATGGATTTTTGTTTACCCATACAATGGAGTATTATTAGCCATAAAGATACATGATACAAGATGGGTGAATGTTGAAAATATTATGCTAAGTGAAAGAAGCCTGAGACAAAAGGTCACGGATTGTATGATTTCATGTATATGAACTATACATAAAAGGCAAGTACAGAGATATAAGGGAGACAGGTGACTGTCCAGGGACTGGGGAGAGATGGAATGGGCACTGATCTCTATCGGGTAAGGGGTTTCTTTCTGGGGTGATGCAAATGTTCTGAAAGCAGGCTGTGTTGTAGTAATGGTTACAGAATGTCCTGAATATACTAAAAACTTCTGAACTTTATGGTATATGAAGTAATTATATCTCAATTGAAAAAAAAGTAGTTCAGTAATCAGATGTGAAAAAAAGACTAGCCATTTGACTTTGGGCTATTTTGTCCTTCAGCTTTTCTGTCAAGAAGTAGAACTAAACATTCTAACACGTCACGTGGTGGTGGTGGTGGTGGTAGTGGTGTAGTTGCTAAGTTGTGTCCAACTCTTGTGATCCCATGGACTGTAGCCTGCCAGGCTCCTCTGTCCATGGGATTTTCCAGGTAAGAATACTAGAGAGGGTTGCCATTTCCTCCTCCAGGGGATCTTCCTGACCCAGGGATCAAACCTGGGTCTTCTGCATTGCAGGCAGATTCTTTACCACTGAGCCACCAGGGAAGCCTAACATGTCACATAGGTATGCATTGATAATACACACTTTTAAAATGAAAAAGGAAATTTTGTTTTCACAATTTTTATTAAGAATAAAGCTTTTATATGTACTTAGTATGATTAATTCAGCCATTTTATTTATTTATTATTTAATCTACAAGCCTATTCTGTGCCCGAGGTACAACCTTGGGTGCTAGGACAGAAAAACAAGAGCGAATGGGCCAGTGGTTAAGTCACACAGATCTGTGTCTGGGCCCTGGTTTCACCTTTTACCGGCTGTAAGTGATTGGGAAAATCACTTTATCTTTCCATGCCTTAGTTTTTTCATCTGTAAAATGGGACCATAGTATATACCTCATGGGATTTTCAGCATACTAAATACTGAGTATCAAATGCTTAGCACAGTACTTGACAAACAGCTCTACTAAGTGTCTCCAAATTTATGATTTGTGCCCTGTTGTTATTATTCTTTCCTCTCATTTTCTCTGGCGCCTTTCATCTATTCTGTACTATGCTAGGAGCTACGAGAATAAAGAAAATGAGACACATCTCTATTCTCACGGAGCTCACAGTGTAGAAAGGGAGAGATAACAGGTATTATAAACTGGGGTATCAACAATACATATGGGATCTAGAAAAATGGTACAGATGAACCTATTTGTAGGGCAGGAATAGAGATGCAGACACAGACAACAGACATGTAGACACAGTGGGGAAGTGGAGGGTGACACGAACTGAGAGAGTAGGATTGACATATATTTATGTCAATTATATATATTTTGTACAAAATTACAAAGCAATTATGCTTCAGTTAAAAAAATCAGGCTATTATAATGTATCATGATCAATACTACAACAGATATGTGACTAAGATGCAACTGTCCAGCAGAATTAGAAAAAGCCTCACAAAACCAAAAGCGAGCAGAGACACCAGGGTCATGAATAGAGCAACTGGCGGAGAGGTAATTAACTTAGTCCCTTGATATATTCTTGATCTGCAATCTCTTAAACCATTCCAAAACCCCAGAAAAGGCTTAAATCATTTATTTATATATATAAAGGCTTGCAATAAAGTCTTCACATTAAAGTAGACCTAGCACAAGATGTCATCTAACTAAATTGTGCAACTCCTAAGAGGCAAATGCCTTTTGTAATTCCATCTCTGAAAGGCTCAAACTGTTACGTATAACCCAATTTTGTCTCAAAATATCCTTGTAGGACAGAGGGGAGACAATATCAATCAGATTTATTTTAGGAGCAGGTAATGGGCTCAGGGCTATATAATTCAGCTGTGCTTAGATTCCCGGGCAAGTCCTTCCCTTATAAAGCCAATCGAACCATTCGTTTTCATTGATCTTTTTTCAGACAGTTTTGGGAACCTAAGTCTGTGAAGCTAGAAAGGTAAGATGTGGCCCTTGCTTTCACAGGTCTTACAATCTAGGAGGGTAATAGTTCTAAAGAAATGAGTATACAAAAAGGTAACATAAACTGAGGTACAGTATTAATAACCACACAGAGTTTTGATAGTGATTAAAAGGAAAGCCGGTAACTCCAGCAAAAGGATAAAACACAACAAACAAAAATAATCTTTCAACTTGAAGCCCTTCGCTTAACCTGTCTTCTTAAGATTTTAATGTGAAATAGCTTAACTGAGCAAACTTCTGCCTATAGAATCTGTGGTAAGAACCAATTCCACTGAACTGAGAGGGACACAAGGCTGAGTTTACAGTAGCGGTGTGGAGGCAGAATCAGACATGGCCACGGGTTAATAAAATGAGATGACTGACCTCCTTCTATTTTACATGGATGGGAGACTAATAGAACTGAGAGAAAATTGGGTCATTATTCTCACTCTGGAACCTGTAACATTTTCGAGACTCTGAATCAGGTTTGCATTGTGACAGTGCCTGATACCTAGGATGTAGGGGACATCATGTTGTAAAAACTCTTAATAAAAGCCCTAACAAACAATCCTCTTTGTATTCTTTTAAGTTAAACCAAGACTCAAAAGGCATTACTACTACAAAAAGGATGGTGGCTCTTAGAATAGGATATGAAATGTAACATGAGAAAAGGGAGATATACCAAATAGTCTGGTATTTCAGAAAAGAGAGAGGTCACTTCCTGTAGGATCAGGTGTCATGGAAGAGACAGTTTTTAAGCTTGGCATTGAAGGATTGATTGGAAGCATGATATGGAAGCCTATTCTAAGCATCAGGCAAGAAAACATGGGGCAAGCTAGACATATGGAGCTCATATTCATAGAAAGCATTATTTGCTTAAATGTATACTGTTTTAGAAACGAAATCTGTAATACTGTGCCAAAGTAACAAAGATGGAAATACCTAGAATTTTACTT